CATGTTGTGTGTTCATATTCATAATGCTTAAAAAAACGAAAAAGTGCCCAGGGTTCTTTTCAAGTGTATTTATGCCACACACAGAAAAAATCTTCCTCGTCTTATGTCCGTTCTCCTGTACAGTTCGATTGTCATACACCGGGAACTATTGCTGCTTGTTTGCACAAAATACACAATATATAACATGATGTACATTCCAAAATGTATTTTTCCCCTTTATATCCACAAACCTGCTTTTTTTGTTGCATTAAAGCTTGCATTTTACTTCTTTGTTGTATTATCACATGAAAAGACATGCAACCAATTACGCTTTTACATTTGTAGATCTTAATGCCACATTCAGGTGACATGTGTTATATCATTTTTTGCACAGCACATAAATAAACTGCATTATTTGAGATGTTTTGGATATATTCTAGTCATTAATTGAATAAACACAGACCTATAGAATGATGGTGTACTTAATTTTATAAGGATGCGTAATTTGTTCCATGTTGTACTTTTATGATTATGAAAGCAATCTAGAACCTCAGATGGAAACTTAACCCTTGGAGCACTAGAAATACAGTAAAATGGTCTACTGTTTTTACTGAGTGAACTGAGTCAGTTTGATAACACAGTTGACTATGAGCCTTAATTTCCAGTCAAGAACACCTTCTCCTGAGCCATTCATCAATTCACGATTCATTTCATGTCCATGTTTCGATTTGCTTAAAATTGCAAAAACTAATAGAAGGGACATGAAGGCAGGGTCCATTTTTATAGTGAATGGATCTAAAGTTTTAAAGAACGAAAAGAAAAAAAAAAACATTAAATTTAAAAAGTCAATATGATCTATTTTAAATTTATTTCTAACATGTAAATGGTTTAGAACATTTTTTGATTGTTTAAATTTAAAATATTCTGTTTTGCTCATGTTTTGTCAAGGATGCACACTCTTAAAAGTAAAGGTGCTTAAAAGGTTCTTCACAGCGAAGCCATAGAAGAACCATTTTTTGGTTCCACAAAGAACCATTCAGTCAAAGGTTCTTTAATGAACCATCTCTTACTTACCTTTTTATAATCTGAAGAACCTTATTTCGCCACAAAGAACCTTTTGTGAAACAAAGGTTCTTCAGATGTTAAAGGTTCTTTATGGAACCATTTCTATGGCATCATGAAGCATCTTTATTTTCAAGAGTGTATTTAATTTTTTTTCACTAGCATGTTATAGTATTTAAAACACTGACAAAGCAAACCTAAAGAAATTCACAACACAAAATCAAGTACAAAACTTTTTTTTTTTTTTAATTTTCAATGGTCAAACTTGCCAAACATCTAGAAAAATATACAACAAAATGCTGAACCTTACCACAACATCAAACATAAAAGAAAGAAGAATATTCACATTTTTCCCACTTTAGAGATAAAAGCACATTCTGTTTTTCCTTATTATTCAAAACAAAAGCACCGTTCGCTCACATATCCCCACAGTAGCCAGAATCGTTGGAGAGCTGAGAGTTGGAGCTCCGGTTTGAAGACGAGTTCCATATGTCCAAATTCATGTGTGGTCCAAAGGGATTGAAGCTGGAGTATTGTTTTCCCGGGCAGGCGCCGCCTGGTTCGCGGCTGAAGGGTGCGACGGGTGAGATGGGTGAGTGGGACGAGACCGGCACGGAACGCTCTAGGTGGAAGTGGCTCTGGTAAGGCTCGCTTTGAGGTGTCCAGATGGAGCCAAATAGACTGGACATGGGTGACAGACTTCTGGTTCCTGAAAAGTATGGCTGGGAAAAAAAAAAAAAAAATGATGAGGGAAAAATTCCTTTAATATTCCAAGCATCTACTTCTCAATGAAGACAAACTACACACATTTTATCAGGCTGGAAAATAAACACTGTGTAAACTGTGTTTCTAAGGAGCTCAGAATAATACTGTCCAAATAACTTTTAAACCAAGATGCCAGTGTAAACCGTTTTTCTGCATTTGCTTGCAATTTGTGGGTATTAATAGTTCAAGTATCTGCTACTCTTTATATTGCACACTTAATTGTAATGGGGTCTCATGTTAACATTTAAACTAGTACAACTCTTACAACTGCATTATAGTATCCTCAAAAACATCGATTTTGAGATACATATTGATTCTAAATATTAAAAACACTTCCGATACACTGTTGTCAGCTATGCTTTCTCCCTAAGTCTTCTCTCCAACAGTGAGGCCATAATGTGCATATTTTTATTAGATAAGTATATAAACCTTTGCGCTGTATGTTTTAGTCAAGTGTCAGTGTTATTCCACGAGCAGCTCATGACTCAGCGTTGTCAGGGTCTACAAGAGTGGCTCGGATCACAGTGAATGCAGCAAACTCCATCTCTGAATGTGCTGCGAGTTTAACATGCAGTTTCACATTCACATCATTTACAGCATTTTTTGTGGACAGAAGATTTCACTACATTTGTAGGAAGTGTTTTCTAGTTTTCCACCAAAATAAAAGCCAATTAAATAATAAATAATAAAATAAATTAAGTAATAAATATTGTAATTTTACCGCAGTGTAAAGTAAAATAATTACTATATTTAAATACATTACAGTGCAGTTGTAGTACAAAAATAACACTTTTTTGACTAAGAAATAACAATATATTAAAATTTGTATTTTATTTAGAAAGTCCATTTGTACGGTCTCTTTTTTGCACTTTTGGAAATATTTGCTGATCTGACTTTTCTTTTAAATTATTTAAAATATTGCTTTTTCTATAAAAGTTGACTCCGAGAAATGCACAAGAATTCCAATGTACCTGTACTACAATGTACTTGTGCAAATGGCAATACACTCTAAACTAGTAATAATAATATATTATATTACTGTTATTAGTATTAGTATTATTATTTAACCCCCTCTGAGCTATCATAATCTCTGTTATAGTTTCAGTTAACAAGAAAATATTTGCTTAGTTATTAAGTACATTAATTTAGATACTATTTAAATTGTATACCCTTAATTGTAGCATTTCTCTGTCATTGAAAACGGTATCAAAACAACAAAAATATTGTTTATTTGGCTACTGAGAGTTTTTTCTGATTTATGGAGTGATAGAGACATAACCAAAAAAACTTGTAATATGTAAAAGTTTAATTTGCATATTTAAAAATAACATTTCAGAAAAACTTGTAATACATAAAATGTCTGCAATTCCTAATGTAATCAATCAACTGGGGAAGTATGGTGATATCTATTACTTAAATTTCTTATTCTATTCACCTGGGGTGTCTTGCCTCAAATATCAATACTTTTCAAGGTAACACTGTTGCCTTCTGATTTTAAGAAAGTGCCTGACAAAAACAAACACTCATGTAAATCTCACCTTGCTGCCCACACAACTGCCAGTGTCCCATGTGGAGTTCATGTCATGGGTTCCATTCTCACCCCACACTGGCTGATGGCTGTGGGTCACGGTTTGGCTTTGATGGCATGAGAATGCATTTTGGTAATTGCCATTACCTTCACAGAAAAAAACAACAAAGAAAACGTTGACTCATCCTTTAGTTACTATGTAGTACAGTGATATATTTTAACTCCTCGTGACAGAAAACTCCTCACCTGTTGGCATGTAGCTGGTCTGGTCACTATAGGGATACTGACCGGCACATTGGCTGTTCACGTTGTTCCAAGGGAAGCTTCACAGTAATGACACATACGAATTTTAATCTGATTGTGTATGGACACATAATATGAAGTCAAAAACGAAATAGATAGTATATAATAAAAAGCCTATGAGACATACCTCTCATATCCTGATGAGGGACTCTGAGGGACGAACGGGAGGGATTCGGTCATGTTGTACCTGAATTCATTGGTCAGAGGAATTGAGGCCGGTGACCACGTCTCTTCAATCACATTAGAGCCGATTATGTCTGGTGAAACCAAAATAAAACACATGAGTGTGCATCTTAACCGTGATTCTCTTTTTAAGTGTAAAGTGTGAATGTCCCTCACCAATGTTTTTGTCCACACCTGCAGCTATATCAGCGAAGGTGTGAGAGATTGCAGGGGCGGGACAGACTTCTGGGCTTTGGCATGGTTCCCTGACATAAAGATTGTTCATGCTGTGGACAAATGCATTTATATATCATCGAACACTTTCAGGATTCTTAAGTCAAAACACAACAAACTTAAAGGATTAGTTCACTTCCAGAATAAAAATTTCTTGATCATTTACCCACCCTCATGTCATCCAAGATGTTTATGTCTTTCTTTCTTCAGTCGAAAAGAAATGAAGGTTTTTGAGGAAAACATTCCAGGATTTTTCAATGAGAGCCAATGGGTTGAAGGTCCAAATTTCAGTTTAAATGCAGCTTCAAAGGGCTCTACATGATCCCAGCCGAGGAATAACGGTCTTGTCTAGTTAAGAATCGTTATATACTTATTTATATACTTTTTAACCACAAACACTTGTCTTGCACTAGCTCGACTTCACAAATCACATAATCATGTTGGAAAGGTCACGTGTGACGTAGGCAGAAGTACCAACCCAGTGTTTACAAAGCAAAAATGCAAAGAAAGGCAAACTCCCTTTACAAAACAACGATGTTGGACAAGTTGGAGGAGAAAGAGATTTTTTTTTTGCCCTACTCTATCTTTTTGAACCGGAGTACAAAGACGAAGAACTTTTCAACGGCCACGTACACACTGCAAGTTTCAGGAGTGACAAACGCATTTAAATGTGGTAGTGAGTCCCGTAAATTATCGTTTCATGTGTGTACGAAACAGAAGTCACTCCTGCATTTGTAACCATAGCAACATTTTGGCATCTTGCAGGAGTGAATAAGAATTTATCCGTTTGGTATCTGCCATTTCTTGGCTAAAGACTCTTTTTGTCCGTCGATTTGAACTAAACTACCACTGATAGACGTGCTGTGTTTTGTTTATGCTCGTGAGGCTGCTTTACAAAGCGCTGTCTTGCAGTGTTGCCATGTCCTCATATTTACAAGCACTTTTAGGCATATTGTTTGGTCTTGGCTTATAAAGCTAGGCACTTTATGGAGTTAACAAAGTGGTCTGTTGCGGATATCAGATATATGATTTTTTGGTGTTATAAAACAAAGCATTTGGGTGTTTTAGGGTTTTTTGGTGCTTGTCCTTGTTTGTTGATTTTTTTTTTTTCTATGAAGATCTGGCAACACTGAAACTTTACCGCAGGGCTCGTGAACACAACTATCCCCGAGTCAAAATTGTGCTAAGTTAAGTCTTCTTTCACAGTTATTTTCTTGCATCTCACATACAGACGAAGACACATTTCTGATGCGCGTTTAAATGCGTCATTAACAACTAGTTGTTCGGTTCCGTACACACTGCGTAGAATTTCTGTAAATGCAGTTGTCAATACCTGTAATTTTCGGGAGTTAATGCGGTTGTCACTCCCGTATTTTAGTGAATTATGTGTGTACAGAATGCAATTAAGGAGTAAAAGGTCACCTGACAACTGAATTTAGCTGCAGTGTGTACGTGGCCAACGTGACTACGTAATGTTGTGAAGTCACGGACACGCAGACGAGCATTTGTGGTTAAAAAGTATATACATTTTTATTTTTAGAAAATGACCAATCGTTTCACTAGATAAGAGCCTTATTCCCCAGGTGGGATCATGTAGAGCCCTTTGAAGCTGCATTGAAACTAAAATTTGAACCTTCAACCGTTGGCTCCCATTGAAGTCCACTATATGGAGAAAAATCCTGGAATGGTTTCCTCAAAAACCTTAATTTCTTTACGACTGAAGAAAGAAAGACATGAACATCTCGGATGACAGGAGGGTAGCAAATTATCAGGAAATTTTTATTCTGGAAGTGAACTAATTCTTTAAGAAAATCTGGGAATTTTACCTTTGAGTTTTGTAGTTGTAGTTCATGTTCATGTAACATTCCCGATCTTTTGGATATGGGTTGTACTGGATGTTGTCTCCTAAAAAAAAAAAATTGGTTTAAAATACTATTTTATTGAACTTGTTCTGGAAACTGCAGTGGATAAAGTGTCCGTTTTCTTTTCAGCTCAATATAAAAGTGTAGCAAGCTCATGATCTCTTACTCCTGCAGGGATGTCTGTTTGGGTCCTTTTCTCCCTCTATGCTGCTGGCACTGCTCCAGCTGCCCCAGGACCCTCGGCTGGCTCTCACACTGCCCGATGAACTGCTTGAATCAGAGCCTGACTCCCACTGCAGACGTCGCTCTGGACATTTACGCCTCGGTCTGCTCAAACACGTGCCTGTGTTTGTGTAAAAGGAAACAGTTGAACAAAACTGATATACTGTAACTCTCCCTGTCAGTTGAGTATACAACCGGTCAAAGTTTGGAATAATCATGATTTTTTTTTCATGTTTTTGTAATTTTTTATTTGTAATGCAATTTACTTTTGTGATGGTAAAACTGAAGTTTCAGCAGCTATTACTCCGGTCACATGATCCGTCAGAAATCATTCTAATATGCTTATTTAGTGTTCAAGAAACACTTCTGATTATTATCAATGCTGAAAACAGTTGTGTTGTTTAATATTTTATTTTATTGAAACTGGGATACACTAGTTTGGGGTCATTGGGATTTATTGTAAAAAAACAAAAATACTTGTATTCAGCAAAGACACATTAAACTAATCAAAACTGATAGTAAAGACACTTAAAATGTTACAAAAGATCTCTAATTCACACTGATTTCTGATGGTTCATGTGACACTAAAGACTGAAGTGATGGCTGCTGAAAATTCAACTTTGCCATCACAGGAATAAATTACATTTTAAAATAGAACACAATAGACATTCAATTCATATGGCAGGCAAAAATAACATGAGTAAACGATTTAATCAAATCCTCATAATATTAACAATGATACAATATCTAAACATGTTTGTATATTGAATTTTAAATTGTATTTATATATCTTATTAATATCTGTTGTATTTAAGTATTTTGCCATATCTTCACAGGCTATTTCATGGCAGACACAGATTCAACATTCAATAAATACAAACAATACACCAAATTCTAACATTTAATAAAATTAAACTTACAATAAAATAAATTATGTATACTTAAAATGATTCTTTAATTGTACTTAAATATGTTTAACAGTAAGGGGAGTGCAAAAATATTGGCATTTAAGTAGTTCTTATAACATGTTGCCTCAAAGCTCTTTTATTTATTTTTTGGGCATTTTCGCATTTTGATATGACAATATAGCAGTTACGGAAAGCGAAGTTTTTATTTGTAATGCAATTTACTTTTGTGATGGTAAAACTGAAGTTTCAGCAGCTATTACTCCGGTCACATGATCCGTCAGAAATCATTCTAATATGCTTATTTAGTGTTCAAGAAACACTTCTGATTATTATCAATGCTGAAAACAGTTGTGTTGTTTAATATTTTATTTTATTGAAACTGGGATACACTAGTTTGGGGTCATTGGGATTTATTGTAAAAAAACAAAAATACTTGTATTCAGCAAAGACACATTAAACTAATCAAAACTGATAGTAAAGACACTTAAAATGTTACAAAAGATCTCTAATTCACACTGATTTCTGATGGTTCATGTGACACTAAAGACTGAAGTGATGGCTGCTGAAAATTCAACTTTGCCATCACAGGAATAAATTACATTTTAAAATAGAACACAATAGACATTCAATTCATATGGCAGGCAAAAATAACATGAGTAAACGATTTAATCAAATCCTCATGGATAGAAGATGTCCCTCCCCATCCAAATTAAATGGACTTTGAAATGTGTTATGTTGTCTTCAACAACTGCAGGTGACATTATGATGTTCAGGGACACTGCTATGATGACATGCACACATACAGTGGTGAGACACAGGAACAGCTGGAAATCACTTCCTCACCGCTGTGTTTGAGAGGGCTGTCTGGGTTGGCTCCTATTTTAGGTAGATCAGGTTTCATGTTGCGGGTTCCAGCAGCATTACGTAGAAATTGTCTCTCACTCTCTGTTACCATATGTATGATGTATTTTTTGCAATAATCATACATTTAAAATTCTCCTTATTCATATGCATAAATCTGACTTTTAAATTGTGATTTATATACTTTAGCTAATAACTGATTTAAAATAATAAAAATTGTATTAATCATGAGTTGTTCAAATAGTGTATTTATTAGTATATATACATAATAAGCTATGTTACAATAACAATGAAAGCAATCATAGTGTGGCCATGCTTTTTAGCGTAAATAAACTGCTTTTGAACTGAATCAAAATCCATTGAATCGTGAATCAAGTCAAATTGCTGTCAGTTAACACTCCTACTTGGAACTCTATATAACTAACATCTGAAGGTTTAAAGCTGAACTGTGCAGATACTTACCCAGGAATGAGCTCAGCTGCCTTTCTGCGACTTCTGCCTGTGTTTTTCTTTGCTTTGGTGTTGGTGGCTGACACTCCAAGTTCTGCATCTTTCTCTGGTCTCTTCTTCGGACTGCTGCCTCTTTCTGTCTTCTGAGTGAGGGGCACAAACAATTCATTTGTCTTAGAAAGAACCTCAACACTGAGAAGCTTCTGTTATAACATTCACAAAGAGGCAGATTTTAGCAGTGTAAAAAAAAAAGGTCATCCTCTTATGTTGTATTATGGCTCTTACCTCTTCATCTACATTATCCCTTTTTTCTGCATTATTTTTTCTTTTACACTCCTCAATTTCCATTGCTTCATCTACAGGCTGAGGGACTCTGCTTGCTGGGATGCTTTCTGGTAATCCAGGAAGTGTTTCCATAGGAAACATATCAGCTGGCAATGCCTTGTCCTCTCTGGATTCTCTAAAGTGCTCTTTCTTCTCAGCTGGGAGAAGGGTTTCATCTAATATGTCATTGTTATTGTTGTTGTTATTACAAACTTCTGGATCAAACTCAAAGGTGCGATCTCCATCTTCATCAGTGGGAGGACTGCAAAAGTCCAAGGAAGCAGGAACACTAGCAGCAGTTGCAGGGCTATTTTTATATCTACTGTATAGGAACGACACCTTAGTTTGCTTCTTTGGAGGCTGGGATGAACCTCCAGAAGTTTTCTTGGATGAGGACTGTGACCGAATTGTCCCATTGGCCACGGCTGGAGATCCTCTCCCTTTGCCTTTGTCAGAGGGATGGCTTGTGTCAGTGTAGTTCTTACAACTGCCTTTTCCTCTACTAAAGAAAAAAAAAAGAACAAGTAATTAAAAATGGATCTAACTCACATAGTTGTCTATAATATACAGCCAACTAGTATCAAGCAAAAATAAATAAATAATTGTAATATATTGCAATAGCAATTTTAACTGTGATATGATTCTTCAAAACATCACATTTCACTGCTGCTTAGATTTCCAGGTAAAAAAAAAAAAAAAATCACACAGAAAAACATTAACAAGCAATTTCTTAATAATAATAATAGGTATTATTATAAATTATAATTATAATAAACTAAATTATTTAATATATTAATTGAATATTAGATATTTATTTTATAGTATTATCAGTAGAAATAATAACAATTATATTTAATTAATTATTAATACACCTTTCAAATATGGTCCAATGAAGTAAACATGTCCAAAAAATTTAAAACAAAGCAAAAAAGCAATTCAACCTTAAAGGACCAGAGTAGTATATGGAGCAGCACTGTGAACCAAATTAATCTAAGACACTGAAAATATGTTTGTATGTGTGTGATTCCCAGTGATGCTATCTCACCTGACACCATTTGAGGAGATGTGGTTGACACTACTATTTTCACGAGGTACAGAGTTGTGATTGCTACGTGGACTTGGTGTGGAGAACTCGCTTAGAATGTGCTGAGCTTGATGGAAAGCCATCAGACACACACCAGCTAAAGAGGAACTGCAGAGAGAACGGGTTTTATATTATTGCATAGAATACATTTACACGCACAAGGTAACATTTTGTGGGTTTAAGAATGTATATGGACTGCTAACCAGGTGAAGACCAGTGTGATGACCCAGAAGGACTCCTCCCAGCTGGGTCCTGGTACCACCTGAGCACACAGGGGCAGCATGTGGTGAGGAAGAGTCACATTGAGGGTGAAGTGGAAAAGGGAGCCACGTTCTGTCACTAGGGTCAAGTCTCTGATTACCCACGAAGATGTGAAGTCTGGAGTAAATCTAGAGAGATACAGAGAGAACAGTTGAGATGAGGAGAAAATAAAAAGATAAAAAAGAGGGGGGAAAAAATTTTGTGGAATATGGTGTAATATAGGAATAGACCATGGAATTAATCATACAGCCCACCCAAAAATGAAAATTCTGTCAGTATTTACTCACCCTCAAGTTGTTCTTTATTTTGTGGAACATGAAAGATATTTTTAAGAAAGTTGGTAACCGAACAGTTTCCGTGCATACAGGTTTAGAACAACACAAGGGTGAGTAAATGATGACAGTGTTTTTATTTTGGGGTGGACTATCCTTTGTGCACTATCCTTTTTAAAATCATAAAAACACAGCAAGAAAAAAAAAAAAGAAAAAAAAAAAAGGCAAAGAGACGTCATAGCCAAACTGAACATTAAAACTTATTACATTCAATCATATAAACCAATAATAATATGTTGCTAAACACTTTCAATGACTTTAGAGACTAGAAATAGAAAAGGCAATAAGAATGGTAACTAGCATGAAAAAGGGAGCCTAAAATGGGGTTTTAGGGATATGACGTTGTCTGATCAGTCAGGCGTGCACTATCCTTTTTAAAATCAAAAAAACACAGCAAAAAAAAAAAAAAAGAAAAAAAAAAAAGGCAAAGAGACGTCATAGCCAAACTGAACATTAAAACTTATTACATTCAATCATATAAACCAATAATAATATGTTGCTAAACACTTTCAATGACTTTAGAGACTAGAAATAGAAAAGGCAATAAGAATGGTAACTAGCATGAAAAAGGGAGCCTAAAATGGGGTTCTAGGGATATGACGTTGTCTGATCAGTCAGGCAATTTGGGTCTAAATCATAAATTTACTATTTAATTCTTAAAATATACAAGTATATACAGGTGCATTTCACAAAATTAGAATATTGTGAAAAAGTGAAAAAAAAGTTTGTAACTCCTTTCAAAAAGTGAAACTTTCATATATTCTAGATCCATTACATGTAAAGTAAAACATTTCAAAAGTTTTTTTGTTTTAATTTTGAGGATTAGAGTTTACAGCTTAGTAAAGTCAAAAATCCATCATCTCAAAATTAGGGCTGTCGCGATTTGTCAATTTTATTCAACTATTCGATTTTTTAAAATCCTCGACTTAATTTTGCTCGCGTCGACTAACCGGCAAAAAAACGGAAGTGGCGCATTTCACAGACGAGAATGTATAAAACACACTATTAGTCTGTTTTCCAAGGCTGCATGATATATTAAACCCATTAAAAAAATTAAGCATAATTGTGAATTCACAAACACTACGATTTAATTAAATAATTATATGCAATGCAGTTCTAATACAGTATATGCGCTTTAATTAT